TGAAGAAAACTTGAAAAAGGAGATCACAAATGCTGTGAATATGTTAGAGGTCAGTATTGGCCAGGGCTGGTAGGGTGGATGGCATAAGTAGATGTGAGAGTCTCTCTTAAAACAGGGGGAATGTGTGCATGGGATGCATGCTGAGCAAATATGAATGAAGTTCTGGAGCAATGCAATTGAAATACAAAAGATTACAAGGGATAACCTTGATCCAAATGCATTGTGTGCTCAGGTAGTGGAAAGTTTTTCTGTTGCACAAACATCTGATCTCTGCTTCAGCTGCTTTTATGCTCCAGTCTCTGCCCACTGGAGCTCACTATCCAAGTTACACTGATTAAGGATGTTGATGTGGGCCTGAATGCAGCTCCTCAGTGTCATTGGCTCAACCCTTCATTCTCTGTTAGTAATTCACACCAGTTTTCTTACCAATGTGTGCTCTTAGGCATTAGTTCCTTTGTGTGAAGAAGATAACCAGGCACAGGAGATCATTAAGAAGCTGCAGAAAAGCCTGCAGTTCCTTAGCCAATACGCAGCTCGAGTTGCCAGCAGAGCAGAGATGTTGGGAGCTATTAATCAGGTAACACTTTCCATCTAAAAGTACTTTGTATAAACCTAAAACCTTCCAGTTGTGTCAGGATAGCCACATTTTCTTTCTGGGCTTATGCTTCCAGGACTGGATTTGGGAATCTGGTGTGTGTAACTGGTCAGGGCAGCTTAGTCCTGGTCTTCTCTTCTCACTCTGTGTCCTTATAAGGAATCCTAGGCACTGAGAGCAGCTATGCTTCAGTAGTTATTGCACAAAAACCCACAGGAGAAATTAGGTACTGCTTAAAAAAAAAAAAAACATAATAAAGGCTTTTCAGCAGTGAGATGTACAAAAGGTGTGGTAACAATAGCCTTGATGCTGCAAAGGTTGTTCTGTGCCTTATGGAAAGGGCAGCTTATCAGCAAAATCTATGGAAAGTCACAAAGCCCTGCTCAAATGTTAGGTGTAGTTGTGTATAACACCCCAGAGCAGCACAAAAATTTGACTTGGTAATACCAGCAAATGCATCGTGGCAGCTGAGACTGTAGATCAGAGGAGATGATGATGGTGAGTTTTAAGTGCTTGTAAAGCTAAAGACTGATTTATTTAGTTTACGACAAGGGTGATCCCCAGAGAAATGAAACCTGTGTAGCATGTGCCAGGACAGGGGCTGTAGTGAAGCTTTGAAAGGGAGGATAAAAGTGAGATTAGCAGAGGAGAGCAGATGCTTAAGGGGGAAATCTCCAAAGATGAGGCAGTTCCTGAGAGCTGCTGCTTTCCCTGTTCCCTCAGGAGAGCCGGGTGAGCAAAGCTGTGGAGGTGATGATCCAGCACGTGGAGAACCTGAAGCGCATGTATGCCAAAGAACACGCCGAGCTTGAGGAGCTCAAGCAGGTCCTGCTCCAGAACGAGAGGTCCTTCAGCTCCCTTGGAGATAGAGGTAATCAAAAAAAGCCTCTTTCTCCTTGCTAGCACCTGCTAGACAAACTCTTATAGCTGCAGAATAGTTGTATAATCCCTCCACATCTTAGGTGATAGAATTATATGGTTGTTTTATCTCCCCTTCTAAAAAGCAGGGGGAGAAAATAGCCAACTATTAACACTATTCATATTATTATCAATATTAATAACTAACACTATTATTAAACACTATTAATATTAACACTATTCAGCTTTCTGAAGTTGAATTTGTACTTAAGCTGTCGTGGATCTTGGGGTGGGTGTGTGGGACCACTGCAAGTACACAGGAATGTCCTGGCTTGCAGCAAAGTGCATGGAGTGTGCTGGTGGCAATCTTATTCCTTGTGAGTAGTAGGTTTGGGTGCTTGTTCACAGTAGCTGTTTCTAATTAGCTGAGCTTTGGCTGCTTTCTACGGCTGCACCCTGCCCTTTTTTACATAGGAATTACAAACCCCTTGAGTGCAGGGGGCCTCTATTTTCCCTTCTACAAGCAGCCAGGTTTGCAGGCAGTGCTGTGCACTTGTACCTTTGTCAGAGAAGTATTAAATTCTTCTGAGAAATAGCATGTGTTTTTTAAACGCCAAAAAGGAAGTCTTCCACACCATAAAATCCTTGCAGGAGCCTTTTGAATTACAGTCCTGACTGTGAAAGACAGTTCTGTAACAGGACACTACCTCAATAATAGCATATATTTTATCATGGTGACAGAAGTTGATGCTTAGAGAGGATGGGTAATGTGTGAATATTACAACTTATTTAATGAAATAGGAAGCTTTTCCCTGAGACCTCATTTCTGATTTCTGAGAGTGCTTTGCTTAAATAAACACTGCAGAAAGTCAGACCTTAGGCTGCAAATTAGACTCACTGCACTCCTGTAAGCAGCAAGTTCCTCCTGCAAAGCTCTGATGTTTGATCTCTTCACAGATGAATCCATGAATAAGAAGCTACCAGGTCCTTTTAATTTTAAGGTAATGATCCTTACATGAAATTTCAAAATATAAGCATGTGTGTGTTTTTCTTTATGTGCTGGTGCTGTGCTTCATGCTTGACTTATGTTTGATGACATCAGCCCATATTTGTGACAGAAAAACACTAAGAATCTACTTTTCAGGCACCCCACCAACCTTCTCAGAGGTCCCCCTTAGAAGATAAAGGTGAAATGGTTGGGCTCTCATTCACTGGTTAAGAAATATTGTTCATTTGTGGTTCTCTTAGAATTAAAGGAGGATTTAGCACAAAAATATGGGAGCAGCTCAAACTGAGTGTAGGAATTCCTCTGAGCAAGGTTAGGGGAATTTAGTTACCTTCAATGTTGGTGTTTTGCTGGAAGCTGTGCACCAGCCTCACTCAGGTGGGCAGAAATCACTTACTATGGAAAGAGGCTGCTTGAAAATCTGATTTGATTTGCACTTGAGATTGGATTCTTTGTGTGTCACTTCACGCTAAGTGTCAGTGTCTTTTTTTAATACAGTTTGCACAAAACAGATGGTATTTTGTGTGCTCAGTGGGTAACCCAGTTGTGCCTTTGCTAAGAGCCAGTAATGCCTCTTATTTGTGTAGCCCTCGTCAGCCCTGCGGAGAGTTAGCATTGCAGCAGTGCCCAGGAGTGCTGGGAATGCAGGGATTGGGGTACCACTGGTAAGTGGGGACTGCTGGAGGGATGCTGAGGTGCTTCACCTCCCCAAATCTGGCAGGGATGAAGCATCAGAATGCCAGTGCAGTAAATGTGGCAAGTTTCTCCTCCAGGCCCAGTTCCATGAACCCGATGGGGATGAACGGAGTGACCGATTCAGCAGGAGATCAAGCAGTTGGTAAAGTCACCTGAGCTTGTCTTTGAATTGGGGAAATATTTTTCAACTCTAACCATGCCTGTAGTAAGCAGTTTATGGAGCATCTTGGTGTATAATAATGTTTAGGCTACACCTTTCAGATGAGTTTTATGTGCTATAATAGGTAAATGAGCCTTATGAGCTCACCTTTATTTATTGAGCATTGAGAGCTTTTAAAAAAAAAAATCCCTCAACTTTCTTGCTTTAGAACTAAAATCTAAAAAATCTAAATATCTACAGTGCATGGGATGTGTAGTTTTGTTTGGGTCTTTTTTTTTTTTTTAATGATCCTAACTTCAAGCAATTAAATTTGTAAGTTATTTGTCTGAGGTCAACCAAATTATTAGGCTGCTGCTAAATTTCTGATTTTCTGCTCTCTATCTGCTGGGGGAAATCAGAAAAATTTGTTTAACACATGGCAGGGGCAGGCTAGGTGTGAAACAGAATGAGAAGCGTCCTTCGCTGCAGAGGTTCCTCAGCACCTATTCCTGGGCAGAGTATGAAGAGGAGCCTTTTGAAACCAAGTAAGTTCAGCAGCAGCCTCCTCCCAGGTGCATTGGTTTGGTTTTTAATGAGCTTTTAATTCACCACCGGGTCAGGGCTATAAAGCCAAGCTGTTGTGAATTTGGCAAAGCTTTGGAGCTGTTGATTCTTGTTTACAGGAATGAGCAGTTGGAATCACCTGCTGAAGTACAGGAACAACCAACTAGGAAGGAAAGTGTCTCTGAGAAAGGAAAATACCCACCCAAATGGACCCTGGAGTCAATGTAAGTTTCTTTCACAAGTTAAAGCCATGTTTGGGAGGTGCACATGGGAAGAGGGTTCAAACAAAAGGCCAGGACTTTCAGTGCTTTCTACGATCAAGATTTCTTGCTGCTCTTGCAAGGCAGCTGTTGTGAATTCTCTTTAGAAGCAGTGTGAAGTACAGGGAGCATGGGTGGATGGGTGAGCTTATCAAGAATTTGCTTCCTTGTCTGTGTTTTAAGCACAGAACAGAAGCTCCCAAAAGAGTAACAACCTACCACTTTCAATGTTTGTGGGATTGTAGTTGGCTTTAAGGCCTTTTAGGGTGGGGTGGGAAGAGTTGCACTTTTTGGGGAGATACTGAAGGGCTCTGTGCTTTCCTGCCCAGGAGCAACTCGATGTCAGCGTGGGCATCCCACTTGAAGGCTTCCTTCTGCAACGCTAACAAAACCCTCTGGGTGTCTGTGTCCATCCTGGTCCTGCTGGCTGCTCTCACCAGCTTCCTGACGGGGCTGTCCCTGCAGAGGCCGGCGGATGCAGCCCCCGTGGGCACTGGGGACTCGTGGAGGTCTCTGCAGCAGCTGCTGTGGCCCTACACACGACTGCAACACAATGGCCCTCCCCCAGTATAACCCCGGCTCCGCTGCCAGGGCTCTGCAGGACAGGAGCTGAAGCATTATTTAAGGTTACGCGTCTGGATTTGTTTTGTTGGATTCTGGGTATTTTTCTGGGGGTGGGGGGGGGGGGTGGGGGGTTGGTTTTTTTTCTTTAAAGCATGACTTGAAATAAAAAAAATATATATTTTTTTCCCATTTTGACAAAAGTCATCTTTAAAAGTAGCTAAAAGTCTCAGTTCTATAGAGGTTTACAATAGAACAGCAATTTTGAACATAGCTAACAATAAATGTGTCTAGGTGGTCTAGCCACAATTGAATAAGAGTTTATTTTGCTCGAACAAAGATAATATGTTTGCATTCCAGAACCTGTTTCAATGTTTTGAATATAAAAGGATTTAAGACTTGAAATGTAACTTTACTGAAAGCTTTTGATAATAAAGTTGTAAAAGAAAGCATGCAGTATTTAGAGTATGCTAAAACTCTGGTAGCAAGGAGCAGCTGATACACTGAATCAATAAACCGGAAGGCAGTTCTTTCCACCTTATCCATGGCTTCACTGCTGGCAGAAGCCTTGAGCATATGGTAGAGTGTGGAGTGGAATTCAGACTCTTCTTCCAGCTCTTCTGAAAAAGCATCACTGGTCTCAGCGAGCTTGAGGTTTTGTACTTTCTCACCGTTGAACATAAAAAGAGACCAGTCATTGTCTTCGGCAGAGCCTGCTGTGAGATGTTCCCTTGCCTGTTGCGGGAAGAAATGCACGGTGAGGTGAAGCCTGTGCCGTGGTCAGAGTACGAATTCTAATATTTGTGTGTCACATGCCTTTAACCTGAGAGCGAGGAAGCCACTGCAGCCTTCAGCAGTGGGGTGTGTCAGCTTTCTCCAGCCACACCTGGGAGCGTTTGTCTGGCTGGGAGAAGTTTTAAGCATGTGTTTTAGTTCTCAGGTGGAGGCAGACCAACACTGAGGCTGCTTATTCCTCCTTTGCAGCAGGGAGCAAACGAAACCCTGCAGGCAGTCAGGCAGTCCCAGGTGCTCTTCAGAAAGCTGGCAGAGCAGAGTGCTGATTCTCAAGGGGCCTCTGAAGAGCATGAAGCTCTGTCACCACAGCTCTGGCTAAAGCCTCCCTCGGTGACTCACCAGCTCCATTTTCCTGAGCAAGTGTGTCTTTGTGGCTGTGCCCTGTGACCCCCGAGAGCTCCCGGGGCAGTCTGTGACACTGAGCTGAGGCAGGGGCTGAAGCCAGCACGGGTCAGTGAATTGTTCCTGTCTAACTGGGCAAGGGTCAGTGCTGCTCTGCTCCGGGCCTTTGCTGGGGCTGCACAAACCTTGAACACGACTCGCTCTGGCCCTGCTTCTCCATTCCACTTGCTGTGAGCAAAAGCAAAAGCGGCTGCAAGCAGAGCCATCTGTTCATAGGCCTTCAGTTCTGCCAGGGCAGCCTGCAGTGCACAAGTGCAGGTCAGACACACAGATCTGTGTCCCTGTGCTACAGCAGTGCCAGGGCCTGCCCTACTCGGCCCCTGGCTCAGCTGGCAGCACAGCAGCTCCCAGAGCAGGAAAGGGTGACTCGAGGGAAAAACAGAAAAACCACCAGGAACCTCNAACCCGTGGTTTAAAAGGCTGGTGAAAGCTGTTATTTCTTTATTTCTGAGCGTAGGAGATTATGAGTTAGAAAGGGCCACGAGGTTCGAGTTGAACGTGGAGACTGAGTTCAGAATCTTGGCCTTGTCAGCACCCTGCTCCAGCCTGGCATTATTTAAGGTTACATGTCTGGATTTGTTTTGTTGGATTCTGGGTATTTTTGGCAGGGGCGTGGGGAGATGAAGTATTTTTTCTTTAAAGCGTGACTGGAAATGAAAATAACCTTTTTCCCATTCTGACAGAAGTATTCTTTAAAAGTAGTTAAAAGGGTCTCAGTTTTACTGAGGTTAACACAGAACTGCAATTTTGAATATAGCTAACAATACACGTCTAGGTGGTCTAGCCCCAATTGAGTAAGAGTTTATTTTGCTTGAACAAATATAATATGTTTGCATTTCAGAATCTGTTTCAATGTTTTGAATAGAAAATGATTAAAGAGTTGAAATGTAACTTTACTGAAAGCTTTTGATAATAAAGCTGTAAAAGAAAGCATGCAGTATTCTAAGAGTATGCTAAAACTCTGGTAGCAAGGAGCAGCTGATACACTGAATCAATAAACAGGAAGCCAGCTCTTTCCACCTTATCCATGGCTTCACTGCTGGCAGAAGCCTTGAGCATATGGTAGAGTGTGGAGTGGAATTCAGACTCTTCTTCCAGCTCTTCTGAAAAAGCATCACTGGTCTCAGCGAGCTTGAGGTTTTGTACTTTCTCACCGTTGAACATAAAAAGAGACCAGTCATTGTCTTCGGCAGAGCCTGCTGTGAGATGTTCCCTTGCCTGTTGCGGGAAGAAATGCACGGTGAGGTGAAGCCTGTGCCGTGGTCAGAGTACGAATTCTAATATTTGTGTGTCACATGCCTTTAACCTGAGAGCGAGGAAGCCACTGCAGCCTTCAGCAGTGGGGTGTGTCAGCTTTCTCCAACCACACCTGGGAGCGTTTGTCTGGCTGGGAGAAGTTTTAAGCATGTGTTTTAGTTCTCAGGTGGAGGCAGACCAACACTGAGGCTGCTTATTCCCTCCTTTGCAGCAGGGAGCAAACGAAACCCTGCAGGCAGTCAGGCAGTCCCAGGTGCTCTTCAGAAAGCTGGCAGAGCAGAGTGCTGATTCTCAAGGGGCCTCTGAAGAGCATGAAGCTCTGTCACCACAGCTCTGGCTAAAGCCTCCCTCGGTGACTCACCAGCTCCATTTTCCTGAGCAAGTGTGTCTTTGTGGCTGTGCCCTGTGACCCCCGAGAGCTCCCGGGACAGTCTGTGACACTGAGCTGAGGCAGGGGCTGAAGCCAGCACGGGTCAGTGAATTGTTCCTGTCTAACTGGGCAAGGGTCAGTGCTGCTCTGCTCCGGGCCTTTGCTGGGGCTGCACAAACCTTGAACACGACTCGCTCTGGCCCTGCTTCTCCATTCCACTTGCTGTGAGCAAAAGCAAAAGCGGCTGCAAGCAGAGCCATCTGTTCATAGGCCTTCAGTTCTGCCAGGGCAGCCTGCAGTGCACAAGTGCAGGTCAGACACACAGATCTGTGTCCCTGTGCTACAGCAGTGCCAGGGCCTGCCCTACTCGGCCCCTGGCTCAGCTGGCAGCACAGCAGCTCCCAGAGCAGGAAAGGGTGACTCGAGGGAAAAACAGAAAAACCACCAGGAACCTCTGGCACTCACCTTCCTGGGCACAGGGACATACTTGGGAGAGTACCCTGCTGGGAAAATGTTCACTCCAGCTCTTTTCAAAGCTGCTCTGAGGGCGAAAGGACTCATCCATTTTCCTGTGATGTGGGAAAGCACCTCCTCTTCTTCCACCACTACTGAAGACAACATACACTGATTATCCTGTTGTACAAACCAGTGAAAGCAACTTACTGGTCATGGAAGCTCCTTTCTGGTTTAGGCTTCAAATATTGATATTTTTGCTATGCTGGGTATTGCCCACATCATCTGCTACTCTGGGCTGTGACCTTTCATTTACAGTTCCTAAGCAAGCCAGCTTTGTTAGGAATCAGAAATGACACTGGTGTACTGATGTATGCACTAATCAACAGATGGATAATCACAAGTAGCTTTGAACTTGGAGAAGAAACAAGGAGCATTAGTAGTAGGCTTCTAGAAATCCCTGTATTTCTCTTGGTAGAGCTGAGAGGAGAGAGGAACCCTTTTCAGCTCTCTAATAGGTGCCACAGGCTTCAATGCAGCAAGACAAAAGCAGCAGCAAAGCTCTGACTGAAACTTAGCAGAGCAAATGCACAGGTGCTGTCTCATAGTAAATAAGTGAAATTAAAACCAGTGCATTGCTTGGAAAGGATTCTAATTGCTCTTGTGGAAGCATCCCAAACTCTTAATCAGGGACACTGTAATAATAATGGTTTTTTTTAACTGCAAATGTATGATTAGAAGATTATTGACAGTACCTTAATTTGTATCTGAATGGTTGCAAAGACTGCAGTAACTGTGAAGAGTCCTTCATCCACACCGGCAGGGTGCAATTCCCAGGCCTGATAGGGCAGGTTCAGGTGAGCATCCTGGAGGAGGGCTACTGTGTAAAAGGCACCCATGCTAAAGGTGATGCTCTTTTCTTCTGCTTCATAGGTTGTGTTGCTGATGCCATCAGTTCTCCACTGCTGGCCTGCACAAAGAGGATGGAAAGATGTACATGGAAGGCTTCTGCTAGTAATGTTGAAGTAAAACAAAACCAAAAAAAGTAATAATAAAAAAACCTTAAAATCCCCAAATCAATTAACATTCGAGTTCCAAAACTATTTTTGGGTTCCAAGTTGGCCCTTATCTTTGCAGCTGGATTATAACAACTGTCCAACTCAGGTATAAATTCCACTATTGAAATTTAAAATAAATTTATGTCCTAAGTTCATACCTGCAGGATCCCATTGGGATACCACAGGCACTTTAAAATAAATCACATTATGAGGGAGCCTCAGGGTTATCTGTACTGCTTCCTCTGTGCCATCTTCAGCTTCTCCTGGGGAATATGGATACACCTCCAATCCAACATCCAGCAGCTTTGGCAAGAGAGGAAAGGACAGATACGGGGTACATCAGAAAGTGCAGGTTTTTTTCTTTGAGTTCACCTAACCACTGCAAAGCTTTTAATGCCCCATTTAAAATGGTTTGCTAATGTTGCACATTTCCCAGTACAGCTTTGAAGGCAGCAGAGGAGTGGCTACCACGAGGCCTTGAAGCCCTTCCTGTGCTGCTGAAGGCACCCTCAGGGCAGGGCCAAGGGTGGGCACAGCCATTCCTCACAGAGCCACAGCCTGGGGAAGCAGGAGCAGGGAGGCACAGGCGGGTGTGATTCCACTCTGTCCCCACCCTGGCAGGGGAAGGAGAGGCTGGGAATGAACAGCCTGGGCCTCTCCCCCTGCCCACAGTCCTGCCCTCTGAGTCTGGCTTTTTGGGAACTTTGCTTATTGAAGGTTTCCAGCTTCAGAGTGCATCTCTGGGGTAGGTCAGTGCTAGGGGAAACCAGAACCCAGCGACCAGAGTCCTCCACCAGCCTGTAGAGCCTGGTGTGAACCAGCAGGGATTTTTGGCACCACTCTGCTTTTACCCTTCACAAATGAAAGATTACATTCCCGCTCCCAAGTCTCTCTCGCAGTGTTCCAGCCCCATCTGCTGGTGCTCCTCAGCAGCACCCAAAGGTGCGGGCAGCAGGAGCTGGGCCATAGAAATGCCTCTGCCTTTGGGGATGAGCTTCTGCCTTTGTAGTGCTTTCTATGGGAACAGGGTTTCACTGACAAAATGAGTCCATTATTACCCACAGACGCATTTCACAAGCACAGTAATACAGTAGATTCTGGACAGGTTTAGTAAGATTGTATTGATATGAAAAGAAATGAGGCAAATAATATAACAAAATAAATAAAAATAAGGCACCAAAAGGACATGGACTGAACGTGAAAAACATATGAAAATTATGAGGAGGGATTGAACATGAAATATAATTATCAGATAACAAAGATTATACATAGAAAAAAATACATATGTATAATATAAAAGAATAAATTTAAGGTTTAATTAATTGGAAATTGTTAGTAAAAGGCAAAAACACTGTGGACAAAAATGGCCATAAATATTTTCTTTAAAAAAGCCAAACCAGCCCACATAAACCATCACAAGGGTTGGTACAGGTGGAGAGAAGTAACTGTTGACAGGAATGAAGAAAAAAGTGTTCAACACTGTAAAACATCTACTGTAATTGTTATGAACTTTGCTCTGAGAGAATGAGACCATATCAAAAAATGACAACTCTAAAACGCTGTAAAGTGGAGCTTTATGCCAGTATTTTGCAGTTGTTTTATTTAAGTCAGTAGGGCAAGAAAACTCACTCTTATTAAACCAAAGGACAACAACACAACACTGGAGATATTTGTAACTTATGTGGGACAGACAAACAGTTTCATTTCCTAGTTTTAGGCCCTCTCACTTAAAGCATCCATTTAGGTAATACTCAGTAACACCCCACACTATACCAATGCCTAACATGATATGCATTGGAATCATCATTTCTCTCTCTGTCCTTGCTTCCCTCTTTGTATCCTTCTGTCCTTCCTGTGTGTTTACCACTCTTTTTATTTGTCCTTCTTATGTTCCTTTTTATTCCCTCTTGTTCTGTCCTGCTCCCTGTGCCATTGAGGAATTAAATCTCCCCAGAGCCTGGCAGATTCATAAAGACTGTGTGTCTCACCCATAAACATATGTAAAATAATACACATATCTATATAAACATGATAAACATGTACATGAGCATAAATAAAGAAAGAAAAACAAGCGTGGGGGACAAACTGCATTTTCCTATCTGTCCTGTTATCTCCCCACATGATTTAACAATCATTAATAGATACGTCAACAAAACTCAAGTGTTATCAAACTTTCCTATATTTATAAACTTTGTTCGTTCCCATGGCGATATTGCAGTTTTTCCATGGATCCTGGAATGGCCTGAGTTGGAAGGGACCTTGAAGCGCAGGGGTCACTGTCACAGGCTGGTGGCTGTCCCATGGCTTGGGGGCAGGGTGCAGGATGGAGATGAAATAAAAACAACTGGAATGGGCAGCATGACAGAGAGGAATTAAAAAGGAATACAGACGGGGAACGGGACAGAAGGATCCAGTGAGAAACAATGGCACAGGGAGCAGGACAGAGCAACAGGGGATAAAAAGAAACAGGAGAAGGACAAATAAAAAGAGTGATAAACACACAGGAAAGACAGAAGGATACAAAGAGGGAAGCAAGGACAGAGAGAGAAAATGACCACAGCAGGTGGGTGTGGGGGGAAGGTGTAGCAGAGGAATGGAGAAAGAGAGGGGTGGGCAGCAGGACAGAGGGTTATGAAGAGAAGAATACAGCGAGGGAGAAGGATGAGCAGCAGATGCAGACAGGTACAGGCAAAAGGACAGTGAGATGGTGTCCCAGATTGCAAGGCAAGATGTATTCCATGGCAGTTGTCTTCTGTTAAGTGGGCAGTTTTCCTTATCTCTTTCATAACCAGTTCTCCCTCTGGGGAGATATCTGCTGTTAATGGGCTATTGAATGTCACTGCATGACTGATAAAAGTTACAGCATCCTATTGTGAGATGCTGTGTCCAGAGGGTGAAGCTGAGCATTCCTACCTGATATAATCTGGGTTTTTGGGACACCAGACTCAGCTTTTCCCCTGGAGGACTATAGCCATTCCAATATGGACTGCTACCAACACCCTGACCAAAAAGGGTGTCAGGTTGTATTCTGACTCTGTCAGTAGTTTTTCTTTTGTATTATTGCATGCATTTTGTTTTCTTTTTCACTTTTCCTAATAAATTGTATTTCTGACTTGGAGTGTCTCACTGGTTTTGTTTTCAAACCAGAACAGATGGACAAAGAAATACCGTCACAGTGCAGGACAAAGGAAAAAGAAGAGGAAGGGAGGAAGGAAGAAGGAAAGATAAAGATGTGAGCCTCTCCCTGCTCCAGATGTGAAACACACCCTGGTGATTCCCATGTATAATGGCTGTCCTGTGAACTGCAGCCTGGTGTCTCACTCTGGGCTAATCCAGCTTCACAAGACAGCATTTTTTTTTTTTTTTATTTTTTTTTTGAGCAATTCAGAAAGAAAATTTACTCTGCATCATTCAAGTAAATCCATGTGATCTTGAGGCAAAAGCTGGATCTTTTCTTCTGTAGAAATTGACACACTTCTACAACTCTGATAACATGGATACATTCTAAATGTGCCCCATAGGAAATGCAGTTTTGCCTGCTGTTTGTTTGTTTGTTTGTTTGTTTGTTTGTTTGTTTGTTTAAAAAATAATTACCTGGAATGAAAGACTAAAATGCAGTAAGATACAAGAAGGTGGAAAAAATTACAGTGAAAAAGAGTTGTTTATTGACTGAGCTGGTACCTATGGTTCATATGCTGAACAAATTAAGCATGCCAAATCCCAGTTGTAGAAGTTTAGATTTCATAGAAACAAGCTGTTAAAAGCTAGGACTGAGAAGAACATTCCAATGACTGAAGTTCCAAAGAACACTCCTGTCTAATGAAGTATTTATTGATACCATGCAGCCTGAAACACTGCAGCTCTGCAACAGGATTTTTAAAATCGCACTGAACCTGACTGAATAGAACTAAACCGCTTTTGTTACCTGGTTTGAAGAACTTGTGGGGAAAACAAAACAAAACAAAACAAAACAAACCAGGCTACATAAGGCAGAACACACTGGTTTTAATTTTTTATGTAGCTACCACACAGAAGACCTGTTTTTAAATGCACCTGCTTTCAGATGGATAGGATTGCTGGAAAGAAAGTCTGAAGTTTTTTAGAAATGCCTGTAACTCATAGGCTAAGAATCAAAATTATTTACATAGTATCAGAAAGCTGTGTTTAATCATCATCAATTTTGAGTTTTTGCTTTTCCATCCGTTTAGGGAATGTGGAAAGAGCCTCCAGGGCCTAAAATCTGGCAAGGCAGTGAGACTGCAGCACACAAATGCCATGGCCACACCCTGGTTCCCTAGGAGAAAGGTGACTGAGCTACAGGTGTGTTCCATGCTGGTTGTGGGGAAGGTGCTCCATTTCAGGACTGCAAGCTTCAGAGAGAGAAGAGAGAAAATTGGCATTCTGAGCAGACAGCAAAAGGTTTGTATGTGTGCCAAGCACATCCTGGAAGTGCTTGGGATCTGATCTGAGGCTCTCTTTTTAAGGAGATTGATGGAATTTAGGCTTGGTTTAGGGGTTTTGTGTGGTGGAAAAGTTGGGGGTTTTTTTTAACTTGTGTTTTTAAATAAAAACTTAGTAGTTTTTTGTTGTTTGGTTTTAAGATAGTTTATTATAAATTATTTGAAAATTTTTTTTGTTGTTATTGTGGTTTGGTTAGTAGTTTAGGTAGAGGTATACACACTTTTGACACTTTTTTTTGTGGTTTTTTTTTTATTTTTTTCTTGCTTTTTGTTGTTTTTATTTTATATGGTATATTATGTGATAAATGTTTATAGTTTTTCTTTAATACTTATTATTTATATTAAATGGTGTTTTTTTATTTTAAACTAATTTGTAAGTGTTAACATTACTAAAAACATGGAGGTAAGGAAGAAGAAAGAGAAAGGACAGGACTAGCTAAAAATTTCTTTCTTTTAAAACTTTTGACTCTTATGTATAAAGTAAAAACCCTCCTGTATAGGTGTTAAAACTTCTTTGTATAATACTAAAAAATCCTTTCTTCTACTTTGTAACAATTTTTATTATAATATTTAAACTTTTGTGACTTTCTGTTCTTCTTCTAAAGTTGGTAAATCATTCTATGGCTTAAACTTAAAATTACAGCTGTTTTCAGCTGCCTGCCAGGGTCTTAAAAGCTTTTGACTGGGGCCTGGAACTTCTAAAAATGTCTGAGGGACATTTTGAGTTCCAACAGGAGACAACAGCAGGACAAGCACTGACACACTTAGTGCCAGCTCTTCCCTGCTCCCCTGCATCTTCCTGCATCCATACATTGAGCCTGAACCAAGATAATTTGCAGAGAAAAA